AATTAGGCCGCCGAAAACTATACGATATCGATATATGATATTCTGAAGATTTGATTAGAAAAAATTAAGGTTCATGACTAATTTATAATCTTAACACTAATTTGGGGACTTTAATTGTAATTATTCCAAAGTTTTAAGTGACCTTAACCCTCGTACTCTGCTTTGAGAGTTTGAGCTGGAGTTAAGTTCGTACTTGTTGTAACTGTTCTGATACTCTTCTTTTTTAACTGCATTCTTCCATACTGTTTTTTTCTCCCACGCTGCTTTCGCTTCCGCCATGGCCGCTCTTAAATTCTACTAGTGAACAGAAACTATCCGATCGAAGACGAAGATTTCAATCAATGGATTCCATCATATCATCAGCTGTCGAAGAAATCTGTTCGACAGGTCGCGACGGCGTTGCTTTATCTTCTCTCTGCTCAAAACTCGCTTCGAGCGTCGAAATTAAACGGGTCCTGTGGGAAAACCTACTTCAGATTCCAGCGCTTCAGTTTCGGAAGCGGAATCGTGTTTACGATAGCAATGATCGTTTGATTCAGCCGTTTGACGATGCGGAAAAGCTGGATTTGAATGTTGTTGCTAAGGAAAAATTGTGCGATAATTTTTTAGGCATTTATGATTTCTCTTTGGGAGGTGAAGAAAAAGAGTTCCATCAACAGCCTCTCGTTCTTGAACGTATTGCCAGTGCTAGGTTAGTTTTAATGTTGCTCATCTTATTCCTTTCCTTTTTTATTTTTAATTTTTTTCTTAATTCATTTCCGTTTGTTTGAGAAAGAGAGATTTATTTTGGAGTAATTTGGTTATTAGCATAGGTTTTGTTTGGGTGCTGTTTTATTTGTATTTCTTTTTCGAAAATAAAAGGCTGAAAATCAATTTAATCATTAAAATAATGTTGTTAATTGTGTTTATTTTAATATTCAAAATCGAAAGATTAAACTTATCCGAATGGGCGGAGTACATGATATGGACAATATTGAAACCTTTATTTTTGAGATGGAATTTTTTATTTTGTCTTCTTCTTCTTCTTCTTCTTTTGGTTGAGTGATATTGTCTTCTTTTTATTGTTGTTATTGGTGTTTTAACTGTGTGCTTGTAGGACGAATGGAATAACTCAAAGCCAACTTAGCAAGGAATTTGGAATTGAAGGAAACAGATTTTTCTATTTGGTAAAGAAGCTTGAGAAAAGTGGCTTAATCATAAGACAAGAAGCACGTGTGAGAACTAGAGGAAGTGGTAAACAATGCCTATCAACAAAGTTAATTCATTTATACCGTTATGCAAAGCAGTTGAGATCTCAAGAGAAATTTGAGGTTACCAAAGACGAAGGGACGTGGACAAGAGGATTCAAACGTAGAACATATGAAGAGGATATTCTTGTTAACGATAGTGTGCCGCTAATGAAAGCAATCTGTGATAAACTTGAAGAAGCTCATGGCAAGGGTTACTTATGTCTTATACTTGAAAGACTGTCAGATAGATATATGTAGTTTTATTTTCATTTTTAATAATTTTTACTGATGTTGTTTGAATTCTCCTTTTTCCTGTTAGGTTCTTGTCATGTCAGATATTAACGTGATCTTGGCTATGTCGGGGTCACGGCAGGCAAAACATAGATGGCAGAAAGTTAGTTCATTTGTTTAGGGTTTTTGCATGTGTTTTAGATTTATCTTGGTGATTTATTCTTAATAGTTTTAATCTATTTCTTCATCTTCAACTTTTCCCAGGTATATGATAGATTGAAAACTGCTGGTGTAGTAGAGGAGATTAATGTAAAAGTGAATGGGAAGGTTAGTTTGATGACTTGTGTCATGGATATTTCTTTTTGATTTTGTATTCTATTCTCCGTTTTCTTTATATTTATGTTACACTTTTTGTAGTCAGGCATTTATGGTTTACAGTAATCTTGTTTGATATTTTATTTCATTGAATATTGGTAAAGATTTGGATTTGTATATTCTGCTTCAGAAAGAAGCCCTTTCAATTCAACTGATGTAATGAAATCCAGTCCAAGTGATAATTTTCTTCTTCTCTCTGTTGCAGTACAAACTAAGCCGAATTTAAATGTTTATTTTGGATTAAGTCAAACCTTGCATATGTTCTTTATACTTGAAACATATTTGTTCTTGATCTCTCTCGCTTCCTCTTTAAAAAATAATAGAAGGCTAATTTCCAGAATATAAATGATAAATAACTACAATCATTCATGATAGGCTTTGGAGAAAAAGTACATACTTAATAATATAACTGTGAGGTAGTTTTGTCTATAATGTTTCAACTAGCTTTTTCCTGTTTCATGGAGATGTTCATTTCAAAATATTATGCATTAACACACTTCATTTTTCACAGGATAAGCGGTGTTTGCATTTGCTAAAAAAAATTCACGTTCGGATTTTGAGAAAAATACGATCAGATGTGTTGAAGGCAAAGAGCTGAAATTGGGAAGATTTCAAATAGCTGACCAGCTTGTGGGCTTCCATTGATCATCAGATTTATGACACAATTGATGCTACAGGATCCAAAGGAATGCTTATTACAGAGGTTTGTGAAAGATATTAAGATATCCTCTATATTTCAAGAATCATAAGTGTCGACAGTCATTTTAGTCCGAGTGACGTTTTTATAATATATTATAATATTAATATTATTAATATTATTATATTTATAAAGCTCGAAGGCCAATTACAATAAGGAGGTCCAGGCCCAGTTTACAGGCACAGTCTACAACCGGTTCAAACCCAATAGACCCGATCCAGGCCCAAGAAGCCCAACAGACCCGAGAAACCCAGCTAGGGTTTCCCCAGCTTCTCCAGCCGCCAATCGATCCCAACCGTCCAATCCAAAGGCAAATCCAACGGTCCACATCTCATTTAGAAGAAACCCTAGGGTATCATAACCCTAGGACCTATTCCGGCCGTCACCTCCAGCTGTTCCAACTAAGGGAAGCCACGCCTCCACCGGCTCTCCAGAGCTCTCCCGAAGACTCCAGAAGCTGCACAGAGAGCCGCACAACACATCGGTCTATGGTGAGTCACCACCATAGGTCCGGTGACTCACCGGATTTCATTATTACGGTCGATCTTCGAGGCCTATATAAAGCCGTTCCTGCAAGCAAGTACCAACAATAGAGAGAAGAGAGCAAGAACAACGAACACATAGAGACAGAGAGAGAGAGAGCAACCAGAAACGAGAGAGCAAGCAACAGGAAAGAAACAGAGGAGATAACGAGAGCAAAACACGACCAAACAACAAATAGAGAGAAGAAGTCAAGAACTTACCTCGCCGGAAGCCAAACGTCGGAGATTCAAGTGGAAACTGAGGTAAAACTCTCGGTTTTATTTAGATCTAGGGTTATTGGGAAGCCTTAGGTAAAAAGGAGGTCGGATTTGGGACAAGGGAAAGCCAATCTATATTTTGGGTGATTTTTGTATTTTTCGACCACGTGGGTGGTGGCCGGCGACGGTAACAGCTGCCGACTAGTGGTCGTCCATCCGCTGGTGGGATATTTTAGAGAGAACTGAGAGGGTTCTCTCGTTTTAGAGAGAGAAAGAATGAAGAAATGAGGGAAGCTTGGCCCTTTAGGGCCTGTTTAGGGCATTTATATCCTCCCCGAACGACGTCGTTTTTGGAGGGTGTTTATGTAATTATACGAATGGGTAAATTAACCCGTGACCCTGCACTCTGTAAGCTTTGCAAGTTAGTCACCAAATCAGGTTTTGATATATTTAATTTTTGTCTTCAATTTTGTTTCATTTTAGTCCCTGACCGTATATTTACCTATATTTAGGTTAAATATCCATTTAGTCCCTTAAATATTAATAATTTATATTATAATCCCGTATTATTATATATGGTTAAATTATATTATTAGTACATATTTTATAATATTTTGAATTAGAGACTATAGTTTTATTATTTTACAATTTGGTTACTCTACTTTAATATCTTTTAATTTCTATATGATTATTATTTTATTTATATTCTTAGTACCTAAAGAATGAAATAATTTACATATAATAACATATAATTTTGATTCTTATTTTAATCATTATTTTATATATATGTATTTAAGTTATATTATTTCATACAATAGATCATTAAATATCTTCTTAATTAATTAGGAAGTATTTTAAAATGGTTATTGGTGTGAAATGATATTCCTATTATTGTATTTATTTGTAAATTAAGTTAAAAACAAATTCATAATTTATTGCAAAAACACTAATTAATAAACACCGGTACCAATTTTGGGCGTTGTAGGGGTGCTAATCCTTCTACACGTAATCGAATCCCGAACTCATTTTTCTAGTAAGTATCCTGTGTTGTATTATTTTAATATTATTTTTAGGAATTTTTATTAGAATAATATAACATTTTGGTGACCAATCTCACCACATTATAAGATGGTGGCGACTCTACAATTTAGTGTTTCATCTGAGATAAACACTCACCTTTTCGAGACTAGTTACACTTAGGTGTACTATTTGCACTCTCCGTCCCCGGGCAAAGAAACGCCTGAGGCGCAAAAGCGTAGAGGTTCACTAAACGGGGCTTTTTCAACACTGAAGCGAGGCACGTAGCCTAGGCGCACCTAAGCTCAGCGAGGCGTAGCAGGCTCTGAGGCGCGAGGCTTAGTCGAGCGCGATGTGGGCTTAAAATCTTGTGTTCCTTCATCGAAATCCCCACCGAGGTTTGCAAATCGGGCCTCGACTCGAAGAACTCGATGATTTTCTCGTGTTTCCCTATTTTTCCCTCTCATGTAGCTCTTCAGGGAGGCTTTGTCGACCTCGAGTTTATTGGTCGCTTGGCGTACGTTAGCATGTTGAGTTGGGGTGAAGATTGGAGCGGTGGAAGTGGGGTCAGGTGAAGGACAACCATTGGATACGGCGGTTCACGACAGCGATGGATGGGTGTTGTTCGTCCTCTGCTGTCTTATTTGGGTTCATTTTCTACAAGAACAAAAGGTCGGTGAGGGGATTTTGAACGTGGTTTGTCTTCGTACGAATAAGAAGGTGAAGAAAAGGAGGAAGTGACTAGTGAGTAATTTTAAACACAAAAGCTATGGTAACATGTCGTATTTTGATTGGCGGGAAGAAAAATCTTTAGTTGTCGCGGGTACTTGTGGGGAATGGATAAAGTCATGACGTGGAACATTTTGTGACCGGTTGATGTGGATATTTGTTTATATTAATTTAATCGTAATTAAAAATTTACGTCTAACAACATTTCTATATTTTACCTTTTCTAAATAATGATAAATATAAAATTAAATGTCTAAATCATATTTAAAATTAATTTTTGATGTTTAAATTTTTTTATTAAAAATAAGTGTATAATGTTTCTTCCATTACACTTTTAGGTTTCTACTGTTAATAAAACGTGAGTGACATGTGTCACTTTGATGTTTGATGATGATTATCAGTGACTTTATTTGATGTTTTGTTTATGCATGTTGGATGCTTTTGTTAAACTTAGTACTTGATTATGCTTGTTGATAGTTTTTATGACGTTAGGTTGGTATTTGAGTTTGAGAGTGAACTCTATTGAAGCCTAATATTGGTATCTATGATATTTGAGTTTGATTGCATTAATATATACATGTATTACAATTTTTTGGATATCATGCGCCTCGCCTTTGTGAATCCCGCGCCTTTCATGCGCTTCGCGCCTCAAGGCTCTAGGAAACTTTGCGCCTCGATGCGCCTTGAGCCTTTGATAACTTTGGACTGCACCTTTCTCAAAGAAACAAAGGTGGCGTTGGAGGGAAGAAGAAGCTACATGTTTTTTGTTTTAATATAATAACAAACATTAGCTGCAAGTCTGCAACATTTAAGTCTGAACTCCTTTTTATCTTCTTCCTAGAAAATCTTCAGGATCCTATCCCTATCATAATACCTGAAAAAAGAACTGAATTTTTCTGTTATATTTTTTTAGGGTTAACCTCTACAATATTTATACTAAAGGAAGTTGACTTTTGTCTGTTACATGGAATCTGTAGTCTCCCAAAAGTTAGGAGATAATTCTGTCCTAAAATACATTAGAACTAAATTATTCTAACCTAAAATAGTACGTTCCATGGAATCTGTACGAAATAGATATGCTAGATTTTCAACACTCCCCTTCAAGATGGTGAATAGATATTTTCTGTTCCCATCTTGCATGCATGTCTTCAAAGTTGGAAGTAGGCATTCCTTTAGTGAAGACATCTTCCAATTGATTACTTGATGCTATATATGGAGTGCAAAGCATGCCACTTTCCAGCTTTTCTTTAATAAAGTGTCTTATCTACTTCATTGTGCTTTGTGCGATCATGTTGCACTGGATTGTGTGCAATGTTGATGGCATACTTCTTGTCGCAATAAAGTTTCATAGGTCCTTCCCACTTGATTTTAAGGTCATCAAGTATTATTTTGAGCCATAGCTCCAAACTCTGCTTCAGTACTTGATCTTGCAACAACCGATTGCTTCTTACTCGTCCATGTCACTAGGTTCCCACCAAGAAATGTACAATATCCTGAAGTTGATCTACGATCTACAATAGAACCTGTATAATCAGCATCCGTATATGCTTCTATGAGAAATCCTTCATCTTTCTTGAACAAAATTCCTCTACTTGATGTTCTTTTGAGATGAGAAAGAATTTTGTTGACAGCCTGCAAGTGTTTCTCTCTTGGATGATGCATAAATTGGCTTACTACACTTACGAAAAATGCTATTTCGGCCTTGTATTTGGACAAGTATATCAGTTTCCCAACCAATTGCTGATATCTTCCCTTATCTATTATGCTATCATCTTTTTATTCACTCGATCTCAAGTTAGGCTCTACAGGTGTGCTTGCTGCCTTGCATCCAAGATTGCGTGTTTCTTTAAGCAAGTCTAAGGCATATGTTTTTTTGGGAAATAAAGATGTCTTTACTCGAGTATGTCACCTCAATTCCTAAAAAAATACTTCAACCTCCCTAGTTCTTTAATTTCAAACTCCTTTGCTAAGCACTTTTTGAGTGTCTCTTTCAATTTGATCATTCCCGATGATGATGATGTCATCTACATATACAAGAAGAGCTGTAATTCCTCCTTTTGAATGTTTTGTGAACAAGATATGAATGTATGATCTCCTTGACTTTGCTTGTATTGCATTGCTAGCATCACTTTGGTAAATCTTTGGAACCAAGTCCTTGGCCTTGCTTGTATTGCATTGCTAGCATCACTAGTTTCATGGTTGAAATATCTTGTTTAAGCTACATTGCTGCTCTTGAAATGCTTAAATATTCACATTTCAGACATGTGCAAGAGGTGGTTGTTGTGTCAAGTGAGCAATGATGTAAGTGAATAACTGTATGTTTGACTTGATGCAATTTGGGGGCCACGTTGGACAAATCAGACTAAATCAGAGACCTAAGTTATTTCTTGATTATAGAAAGGAGTGATAGTTTTTGAACTGTTTGCCTAAACAAAATTTTCTCTTTGTTAGTCTGTTCTGTCACATTTATTTCTTCATTTTAGATTTTTGGAATGTGGATTTCACTAGTCTCCAATGTTTAATTCTGAATCTAAGACCTTTTCGTTTTTAACTCATTCCATAAATTTTGTTGTGAAGCAGGTAGCAAGAGGTTCGGAATTGAAAAGAAGCCGAATCATAGGAACTGTTTTCTAATGAGCAACAAATTTGGGATGCCTATGCAGATGGAACTTCATAATAAAAGCATGAATACAGAATTTGGACAGCCAGGAACAGTGAATCTTCTAATGTAATTCCAAGTAGATCAAATGACCTTTTCAGCAAAAATTATAGTTTGGGTGTTGCCAACCCTAGGTGTTCAGATGGATCAGCCCGAATCTCAGATCTTTGGAATTCTGAAAGTGACACCCTTTGGAAGACAAACGACTATGAAAATGAAATGAATCTCTCTTTTTGCTCTCGAAGAGATAGTGAGGCAAGTAATAGTATCTCCAATATGTGCAAGCCACAAGAGTTGATCCATGAAACAAGAGCAGTGTCTCCAAACAGAACAGTTCATTCTGTGAAGACTGCAACATTGATGCTTAAAGCTTGTCAGTCTTCGACAGTTGATAGCGCCCGGAGAGGGCAGAGAATACTTGAACTATTGCAGGTCTTTTCCTCTTCCACTTGAAGTAAATTAAGGCTTCCCCCCCCCCCCTTTTTATTTGGTTACTAATTAACTACCATTCCTCTGTGTGTTTGTGGGTAAACCGATGCAGGTTGAAAAGATTGTCTTGAGAACAGAGCTATATAGGTTTCTTGTGAATCTCGAGAAAGACAAAGGCACAACAATGGACAGGAAAACTGTAGACAAAATATTGCAGAAGCTTGCAAATGAAGGGCAATGCAAATATATAGACCTAGATACATGAGATTATGGATACTTTTGTTAACCGCAAAGTCAAGGTGGTACTGTACCCATCTATTCAAAGTTTATCTTCTGAAGTAATTGGTGTAATTCGTGCTAGAATCAAGTCTTCTAGAAAGCTTGCTCATGGGAAGACCTCATTGAGGAAGAGGAACAATAACCCAGTCCGTCTATTGGATTGTGTTCAAATAACACAAATTTATGATAGTTCGAATTCCCTCTCTCTTAGGACGGAAGCCATGCGTGCTAATGGATTCATATTTGGAAAAATGGTAAAAGCAAGGCTGTTGCATAGTTATCTCTGGGACTATGCACGTGGTTTATCTGCTAGGGGTGATGTTTTATCAGATGGGAGACAAGATAATGATCTACAGAAACCTTATATCATTCATAATCTGTTTGATATGGAAGGAGCCACCAAGGAAATTCCACTTGAGCTATTTCTTCAAGTTGTGGGTTCTACTGTTAAAGTTGACAACATGAGAGAGAAGTTTAAGAAGGGAGTGTGTTTATGTGATCTTTCTATTCAAGAGTATAATGATCTAAATGATGCTTCGGCAATTAGGAGACTGTCTTCAATTGTAACTATTTTACAGAGGCTGAAGGTACAACCTCGTGCTCACATTTGAAAGTAAATTTAATATTTTCTTTCTATATTTTTCATGTATCATATCAATTGACCTGGGTTGGTTCAGTTTTCTGAATATATGAATGTGATACAATTGCCTTGGTGTAGGTACCATCCGATCTCTTAAACAGTGTTTAAGTAATTATATGCCTGATTGGTTCGCCAATGAAAGAATTTGAGATGCCTCTTCCTCTCTTTTTTTTTTATTTCCTTCTTCTAAGAGAATCCTTTCTTTGTAGCTGATGGCTTTTCATCTGATTATCAGGACCCTAAGATAACATGAACCATCAAAACTATATTGCTTACCCCTGAATCATGGAGAGAACAGAACTAAATAGTTAACATCAATCTTAAGATGATTATGTATGTTGATGTTATTTACTTTTCTTGTATTTGAAAGCACAAATGATCATTTGTTTCTGAATTCTTTTTCAATCTACGCTTTATATGCTTTTTATCTTATATATATTCCTAGTATCAAATCCCAAACTTTGATACTTTTACGTAGTTGATTCGGCTAGTAACTAGAGGAAGTTCTGATGCTGAAGTCAATTTGTCACATGCCAGTCCTGTTTATGCCCTGGAGCTTAAGCCTTATATAGAGGAACCATTATTGGTTGCAACACATTCAAATTCTGGGTTTCTTGATCTTGGCCCAGAACAGGAGATTGTCAGACATGAGTTTATCCTCTCAAACAGAGATGACGTTGATGAATACTGGCAATTTTTGGAATATACTTATGCTAGGGTTGATCCAAAAGTTGGTTCGCATGCATTACCAGGGTATACTGTTCATGAGGTATGCATGCATTTTATTCTTGCACTATGTGCAAATTGGTGTCTTTCAAGAATTTTCAAATGAGAAAATGCTCAATGAGGAAATAGAAGTATTCTATATCTTATCCATTATGTTTTTTTCTTTTATCTGTTAATTCCAAGATTTTTTTTGCTTGTTATTATCCCAGCGATGATGGTAATTGGATTTTTTTCCAGATTTTTGGATACAGATCATGGACCTCTGTTCGAAGAATGACTGTTGGTCAGCATGCAATGCTCTACTGAAACTTCTAGCCAAGACCAAATGCAATGAAAAACTTCCATACAAAAAATGTAAGGAGATTGCAAAGAACCTAAATCTCACCATGCTGCAGGTTAGATCATGCCCTAGTTTCCATAAGATATCCCCCCTTCTTTTTCTTAGAAATTTTCTGGAGTCTGGACCAAAACTTGAGATCTTGAATTTCTTTGCTCAATGGTTTTTATTAATTTGATGAAACGAATGTTCATATTTAAATGAAAAACTGTAAAAGAGTTCCTTCGCTGTTTTATTGTTAAAATATCTCCCTTGAAATGTTGCAGGTGCTTTGTGTATATAATTCTAAGCTGCGACGTCGTCAAAGAAATAAAATTGTAAATGAACTGGAGACCGAATCCGATCCGATGGTCATTAGTTCCTTTCTCAAAAAGGAAAAGATCTGCAAGATCTAAAGTTTTAAACCGTAGAAAAGTTGGCAATGAACTGGGTCATTTTCTCAGAAAAAAATTCCTAGTTCAGCTGGAAGTGGTAAAGATTTTATAGGAGGAGAAAACAAAATGTTATCCTCTCCTCAGAAGCATGAAAGTCAGTTGCAAGGACAACAAGAGGAAGATCATTGGAAGTATTCTGAAAGGTTTGGAGTAAATGGAGACAAGTATCATTCATCTACTAACCATTCGGCCTTTTCCAAGTTGAATTCAGTACGCCCAAAAAGGTTCCAGTGGACAGATGACGCAGACAGGTAAGGAAAATGAATTACTTAAGTTCCATGTTTCCAATGAAGTTAGCATGAAATATTCTGTGAAAATGGCCTTATGGGGAATTTTTTGTGAAGTTTGCATGTATATTTTGCATGTGAACAATAGTTACTTGTATGCAGCAGGTTACTTGTCTATCTACCCTAGCTGAAAAATGTTTTTACTAGTTTTAAAAATAGAAAAATGTCTTTTTTCCCGTTTTCTTTTTTCCCCATTATGTATATTTACTAATTGCTTCATTTTGCATATATGAATATTTTTTTCTTTAAGGCAATTGGTAATCCAATATGTGAAAAACATTGTGGGCCTCGGAGCAAACTTAACTGAGGGATGCAGGCTCTCATTCGGTAACCTTCCAGCACATCCAAATGCTTGTTACAGAAGAAAAAAATTCCTAAAGCAAAATAGAAGATTCAAGGAATCTTTTAGGAGTCTTTGTAATATGCTTAGCAAACAACATGAGAAGCAGCTGGAACAAATGGAGAAGAGATCAATGGATGACGATAATTGTGGATCAATCATGCCTGGTTCATCAGGGACAGGTGCTAAGAGAAGTTTGTTTGAAGGCATCGAATGCAATAAAAGCATAGGTTGCCTAGACTTTGATAGTTTTAGTGAGGAAAAGATTAATTTTTCCTTGGAAGAGGTTCTTCGGAGCAGGCAGGAGCCTTTACTGGAGGCCCCAAGAAATGCAAATGTCTGTGACTATCAATTTCCGTTAAACACTGGCAGTAACGCTGCTAAATTTTCTAGGTGGCTTGTTGAACATGAAAAAAAATTTAGGAGAGGAGGACTTGATCTCACAGTAGATTTAAAGTGTGGAGAAACTTTTCATTTGTTTGCCTTGATTTATTCGGGTGAACTGTTCATTTCTCCTTCTATTCCAGTTGAAGGTGTTGGAGAAGTTGAATTTGTCAAAGGCTTATCTGCCCCTTTTATTGATGACTCTTCCATTGATAATCGGCGTGAAAAAGGTTTTCCAGGTATCAAGTTATCTGTGCATAGAGCATCAGTGCCAAGAGCTGTTTCTCTAGAATCATCATTCAAGAACGGGGAGAATTTTGGTGATGAACATTTTATTGATGGGTATTATGTAGGCAGTAATTCTGGAACTCTTGAAGTTGGCAGCATTTCATCACATTCTGAAATTGTTAAGGAAAATCTCAATTTCGAGCACACTGTCCCGACACCTGGGGATTCTTGCAAGTCACTTTGGGAACTGATGGTTGATCATGCTGCACATTTGATGCCATTAACTACCAGTCAAGAATATGTTGGTAGCTTGTCTGAGGAGGCCTTTAAATCTGTCTACACTGCCATCCAGAAGGCTGACGATCAAGGTTTGACCATTGCAGAAGTTTCCAAATTTATGAATACATTAGGTATCCATGCTTAACTTTTACTAGGATGGTCATATTTAAACATGCATTTCTTTCCTATTGTAGAAAAGCCATACATACATTATCCCGGTATTTATTTCTTGATATTTTCAGGAGAAAAAATGGCTGAACTTGTCATTGATGTTCTGCAAAAGTTTGGACAAGCAGAAAAGGTAGTTTGATTCTGTCATTTGACCGCACTTCTTTATGAAATTTAGAAAAGAAGAAAAAATATTGCACTAACAAATACTTGAGTATAACACATTGTGGTGAAAGTGCAAAGTAGAAGGTCTGGGGGATTTATCTTTCTTGTTTCCTTATGGGACATCTTCCATTCTGATATCTATTTGATGTCTGCTTGTCCTGGATAATTCCAGTTAACCATGTTGTGTCTCGTATTTACAAACCCGTTGCAAGAATTAGGACATTTATTCATAAACAAGGGAAAGGAGACTTGTTATGCTATCTCTAACTTCTTCGTAGATTCACAAATATATGGTCTCGTTTATAGTTGAACAGTGGAAGTTTGAATCTCTATGATTGGTGCTTGCTTACAACCTAACGGGTCAAATATTGTCCTAACAAATGGTTATACAGGTCATTTTTTATGGTTCATTTCGTTTCATCGCCTGATCGACTATGCAAGGCAACAGCAAGAGGAAAATGCATAAGAGAATAATTACTCGGGCTTTTCGTATTGTGATGCAAAATCCAGGAATACTGGAGGTACACGATTCTTATATTTGCTTTTAATTTCATTTTAATTGTATTATTGCTTACTTTTTGTGCATGAGAAAAAAATAAGTGCAAAAGAATGGGCATTGGGTTTGGTCTACTTCATTAAATCCCTGAAAAAGAATAAATTAGTTTACAAAATATGAATCTATGCTTTACCCAACGGAAGCTGTTAAACAATCATGGATATCTATGTCTCCCCTCCCAATTTAATTGGTAATATTTCTGTTATTCATATAATATATGTTTGCGTTGGGAAGTTCATGTAGATATCAGTTAAGCGAGTGTTCTATATGTGTTCACGAATCTTCCGTTTTCAGTTTCTGATTAGTGTGACATGGAAATTTGAGGCGATTGATAAATGATAGCATATTTTTTTGTTGGTATCTAACCTGATGTTCGACTGATTAAGACCTATGTTACCCAAACTTGGAGGCGAGTATTGGTTAAAGTTTGTCTGTCATAAGTAGGTCAATATTTTCCCTATTTTTCCAAATCTTTTGAGAATCATACTCTCGTACTCATGTCCAAAACTCCAAATATACCTTTGGACACTGGTGTCGAACACAAGCACTTTAAGAACAATGAAGGATTCTGGTAATTTAGATTCGAATAAGTTATGTGCAGCTACAAAGTTGGGAGTCTACACATTTTCTCATGTTCTTATTGTTTCTACTCACTGTTTGTGCAGGGTGATATTATTCGCAAAATGGACTTTCCAATGATAAATTCCCAGGTAAGAATGCAATTCGGTTGATTATCAGAACATGCCTAAACCTCTGCTTATTTTGTTAAACTCATGCCATAGACATAATAAGTTTATTGCAAGTATCTAGCTCATAACTCCTTGTTTCTCTAGATGCTAGCATATAATGTTAACTATGTTAGGCATGAGTGTCGGACACGGGTACGTTTAATTTTTTTCAAGGTTTCCATGAATAAGAGAGTCCTAGTCATATTCCAGCCTATACTTCGAACATTGATACTCCACAAGAGAATTATTTTAAAAATGGAGAGTCGAAACAACGTAGGATTCTTCTTGTAATAGCTTTAGTGTTGATGATTTAAATGGGATTATAATTTTCCCATTACTAAATTTTCAACTAAAAACATATGTAACTCAGACTCAAGTGTTGGTGTCGGGTATGAGAATCCATCTGACACATATCCGAATACGAAGATGGTGATATGAGCATGTTGAACACTAGAAATGAAAAAGATAAAAATAAAAAAGTTTTAGAAATATAGTTGAAAACCTTACTTTTCCTTGCTTTTGCTTATTATAATTTCCTAATGGATTTACCTTTACATTTCTTAAACAGCCCCTTAAGAAATTATTAAGGTTGATGGTTCGGGGCGGACATCTTATTGTCAAGAAGAAGCATCAAAGTAAACGTACCGGAGTCCCGGCAATTTTAGGAACGATGATCGGCGGTAATTCGACCAAATGCGAACTAATTTACCGGGAGCATTTCTTTGCCAACCCTGAGAGTACATTTCTTTTATAGGAAAGCTCATTTAGTGCTTAGCATATAATAATTTGGTGTCCAGGTCTATCAATACTAATCTAACTTATGTTGCCCGGACTTAGATACGAGTGTTGGATATAGATTTAAATAGATTTGGACATTACTGACTTTTTTTAATTTGTCCGAATGTGTCGGACATTGATTTAGATACACATTTTTTTTTGTGAAAATATGGAGTCCGGGTAACATAGGTTGCTATTGTAACATGAACATCACCACATGAAGTTGTAACACTACAAGCGGTACCAGTGGTTAAAGTGAATATTCTTCCTAGAGGTCATGAAGCTGCATTTGCAAGCATGTGTCAATTGTTAAGGAAGATTACGAATAAATTCTACATATTATAATAACTCTAGATTATCAAAAAAAAAAGCGATACAAATATGAATATGTATTTGACATGTATGGGAAGTAGTTGAGAATAAAATCATCTGGATAACTAATATAAACATTAAACAATATTTTTAAACTTCACTATTTTTTACAAACCACTTGAAAATAATTTAAGAGATAATACACTGAAGTATGTCCCGAGTCATTCCTTCAAATTACTGCAACAATAACCCCTGGAATAAACAAGAATTTCACATTGAAGAACAAACCAAAATATGATTATGAAAGATGGCGAACATGTTTGGATGATGAAAAAATTGCACTTATTAGGGTTTTTAGTTTTTCTTATAAGTTAACGTGAAGGAAATTTTTTAGGGCAATTCAATACAATTTTTTTGTTTATATTCATTAAAAAACATTTTTGGATGACTAAAATAGTAATTAGAAATAGAGAGTTTCATGTTATTATTTCCAGAGATATCCAAAAGTTTGGTCAAAGTTTTTGGCTAAAACAATGGACAATGAATAAGAGAACCCATTCAACAATTTAAAAAGGGAAAACTATATTCGTGATGAATTAATTATGGAGTTTTAATAAGATTTTTGTTCTTTTAATATTATCAACTAGATTACTTAACTATTTAAACTATGTCAATCAAGTCACTTGCCATTAACATATGATAGAGGAGTTAACGTGATAGTTAATAGAAGTAATATAGTTACACATTTAGTCCTCATTATTTACATATTTTATCAATTCAGTCTTCATTTGAAAAAGAAGCTAACGTGACAGTTAACAAAATTAGGACCAAATTGCTTGAATGTGTAAGTAATAAATACTAAATATGTAATTACAATAATTTTGATAGCTTCCAAGTCAACTCATTCATCAAATGTTAACAACATGTGACTTAATTGACATTATTTAAATATTTATGTGATCTAATTAACAAAATCAAAAGAAGGATGATCAAATTAGATTCTCCTCATAATTAAATGGTAACGGATGTAATTTATCAAAAAATAATAATAATTCATGAATTTGATTCTAATTCTACATATTTGTTTGCATAAATATTAATAAACTATAATCGAAATTAACAAAATCAAAAGAAGGAGATCAAACTAGATTCTACTCATAATTAAATGGTAACGGGTGTAATTTATTTAAAAATAATCCTAATAATAATTTATGAACTTGATTCTCATTCTACATACTTGTTTACATATATATATATATATAAACTATAGTCAAAATTAAATGTTCTAAAATACAATCAGACTGATAATCGAAATATATGCATAATTAAACTACAATAATTATAGAAATACTTGTTCGAGTTTTTTTAAAAAGTTTTTAACATTTTTCTTGTATGATTTTTGTGTTACATTAAGTGGTTAGTTTTTGTGTTAAAAATTATAGAAAAATGTACTAATTATATATTTAATTTACGTAAACATTTATTGTATTTTTAAATATTTTTTTCTTTTAACAAAATTAGCAGCTTTTATAAAAAATACATTTGATTTAAATAGAAGTATAAATAACAATCAGACTAATAACAGAAATTTAGACCAGAATAAAACCGATGAGAGTCGAACATGGATGCTCAAGGACCGGTCTGGTGCCATTGTCTTATCATAATAAATAAGACAAAGCTTCCCAAATTGTTCGGTATGTAACTGGTTTTATTTCTAACTTTTTTTTTTTTGAGCGGGTGGAGTTGGAATGGGCAGTGAAAGCTATGAATTTGGTTCTTCCATTGACGATGAATCTTACGAAGATGAACACGTTCAAATTGTTCATTCTTTGCCCTTTTATTTCATGGAATTGATCGCTGCCGGTGCTTCCACAACCGTTTCAAAAACCACAGTTGCACCATTGGAGCGAATCAAGATTCTTTTGCAGGTTTGATTTCTTTGTTTCTTTCATCTGGTTTTAGATGGATCGTTAATTCAAAGGATTCTAATTGTTATTACATCTTACATGTTTCTGTTTACACACCCCGTATTCGTGTTTATTTCAAGCTTTATCTGGATCAAATGATATATAAATTTTTTGATATAATTGATTTATATCTCTGTTATTCAGATTCGGAGCAAACGTTGATGTTCGCATTTTCCCATGTTTAAGTTCACCAATTTTAGTTTATACATCTATCAAAATTAAATGATATTTAATTTGTACATTTATTGATTCATAGTTTTCATGGGATAATTGATTCATATATGTTACTTAGACACAAGTGTTGAATACGATGTTTAAAGAATCATATTCATGTTTAAATAAGTGTTGGACTCGAATAATTTAAAGAAATCGAAGTGTCCGGATAATAGAGATTAATCTTTATCATTTGATTCGTTATACCTGCGGTTGACTATGTTTTCATTGCAAATTTATAGAGTTTTTATGATTGTTTCTATTGATTGAACTGATAGACAAGGGCAGAAGGGTTTCATTCAGTTGGAGTGTATGGATCATTGAAGAAGGTAATGAAGAATGAAGGTTTTAAGGGGCTATACAAGTAAGTTCACTAATGAAATTCAAGTATTTCTCGTTGAAACATCATACATGCATGCATGCATACATTCACATGCATACATGATATACGTCCATGTAGTGGCCGAGCAAATGGTGTTTGTATCAGTCGGATGTCACCCCATTCGATATATCATTACAAGACATGAACTATATCGCAGTTTCCCGCACTAATAAAGGCATGCATGCATACACACAGATGCATACTGAATCGTTTCTTCGCAGAGCAAACGGTGTTTGCGTTGTCCGGATGTTACCGCATTCGATATTCCATTACATGACATATGAACAATACCGAGGTTTCCTGCTATACAAATGGCCTTGTGTTGGTCAAGGGCCATTGCTGGACATTCTAGCTGGCTCTGCAGCTAGTGCAACAGCATTTTTGTGCACTTATCCCTTGGATTTGGCTCGAACCAAGTATGCATATCAGGTAATGCAAACTTCTCGGGTAAAAACCCTTTTTTCAACATTGTGGTGCAGCTAATTCTCTCGTTCTCTGTTTTTAAGGTGGTGAACCGACGCCAAAATCTTGGTGACAGTCATAGATGTACCCATTCTGGTCTTCCTGCACATCGAAGGATAAGAGACGTATTCAAGGCGGTCTATAAACAAGGCGGAATGTCCGGGTTCTATCGAGGTGTAGGTATGCTAGGCTTCTCTTCTCACAAATAAGAAATGTTGAACAAAGATCACATTGAGAATTTGAGTCAATAATCACTTGTGTTCTAAACATCAGGTCCTACACTAGGGGGAATCCTTCCTTACAATGTTCTAAAGTTCTATTCTAATGAGGAGCTCAAAAAATGGGTTCCCAAAGAAGATCAAAGCTCCATGGCATTGAATCTTTCGTGCGGAGCATTGGCTGGCTTGGTTGGACAAACTATAATATATCCATTGGATGTTGTTCGGAGACAAATGCAGGTAAATTTCGTGTCTGATTTTCTTGTTATAGGCTTGTCCAAGGACCGGATTATCTTCCCAAGCCAAACATGCATAGACTCGTATTCCGGGTTAGATAGGTCATGTATAGGTCATGTATAGTTTTGATTCATTATTAAGCCAAACATGAATCCAGTCCAACCTAGTCCATGTTATCAAACATCGATAGTCTCAACGATAAACCGGACTATGAGAACCTTATGTGGAAGCATCAGAAAACTGCATCCTCAGACCAGTCTCTTTGCCTTCATTGAAGCCTCAGACTTCGAAAACAGTATGAGCTTCCACCAAACATCGATAGTCTCGATGTTAAACCAGGCTTACTTGTTTAAACTAGATTCATCTTCGAGCTTCCTATTCAAAGCTGTTTATATTACAGGTTGACATTCGGAACCAGAATGGTATAAGATACAAAAACAGCATTGAAACTTTTAAATCCATTGTCCATGATCAAGGATGGAGACAATTGTATGCAGGTTTATGCATTAACTATATAAAGGTGTTTTCAATATATCCATCACCCTTTGTTAAGTTCTTTGACATGATCTGCAAGACATAATCTTAACCCCGTTGCAGGTTGTTCCATCACTAGCAATTGGTCTGACCGCGTTCGATGTTGTTAGCCAACGACTGAGTTTCCCCCAGTAGAAGACCTGCTGATGCTGAAAACAAACCCAGACGTCTTAAATGCCATTTTTTCAAGGGTAGTTGCATGAACTAACTTCATTCAGCCTCACTATTCGGCCTCACAATTTTATCATCAATAGGCGGATCCATTGAACCTCACCATTTTATCCTCAAAAGTCGGATAGGTAAGGTGTAAACACTTTAGATGCCCATTCAACTCGTACTCATGTCGAAAGAGACATCGGACATGAATACTCAAAGAAAAATGTATTGTACAAAAAAACTACATAATGGAAAAGAATCTCTCTTTATTCCTCCTAACAGAATCTTGAAACCGGAATCGAACTCAAACTTTGAATTGTTCTATGTAGCCGGACACCGATCAATCAAAGTGCAGCTACATTATAAATAACAAACGACAAGCATTTTCAGAACTTACTAGAAACTTGCAAGTGTTTGTGCACCGAAAAGACAATCTAATAGTTGGCATACATCTATCTGAAAAAAGAAAAGATAGAGTCAATGGAATTAAGCAAACCCAGATTTTAAGCAGTAATTCTTGAACGACCTTTTGCTATTCTTCGAGTGATGAGTCTTCTGCCACCCTTTGTTGCCTTGCTGTACAAGTACGAAATAGTAATTATACAAGTCTAAACACTAGAGTTAGTGAGAAAACAAAGCCAAAAAAGCGGCTTTTCATCATGTAGAAGAGGGAACCTTCTTGAAGAAGGGTTATTGAAGGTCAAACGAAATCATTAACTACTATACTGATACTGTGAATTTCGACATGCCAAAAATTAGTAATTCACAACAAGAGAAGGAACTGTTCCGAGCTAAATAACCTATATTCAGGTTTTACAAATCAAACTATAGTTCAAACAAGCATCAACTACTATATTTTATGGTTAGATGAATTTCAAACACGCCAAGGGTTAATGATTCGAGTTAAGAGCAGGACATGTTCCCGAGCAATAAGAGAAGAAGGAAATGTTCCGAGCTCAATATCCAAGATTCAGATTTTACAAATCAAACTATAGTTCAAACAAAAGCATCAACCACTATACAGGTTCCATGAATTTCATGTCAAAAGTTAATGATTCTAATTAAGAGGCATGTTCCTGAGCAAAATTACCGAGCAAAATATCCATGATTCAGTTTTTCCAACTCAAACTATATTTCAAACAAAAGTATCAACTACTCTATCGATACAGTGATTCTCAACATGCCATAAGTTAATGATTAAGGTTGAGAGAAGGAAACATTACCGAGCGAAAAATCCATGATTTCTTTTGCGCCAGATGGTACTAGGCTGATATGTTCTCTTGGGGAAACAGAGCATTGGCTCACTTGATGAATCTCCGGAACAATAATAAGAAATGCATACTGTAATGCAAGCAAACAAAAACAATAAAGCAAACAAAAACAATAAAGCAGTCAAAGTGTATAACGATTTATCAAGCAGCATTAAAGACTCAGATTTTAATCAAGTAAATTTCAAGCAAACCTTGATGAAATGCACCATATGAAAAGAATGAACAATGAGTTTCCACGATATAAACTAAAACTGACCAACACTGGAATTAAATGGAAATCAGCTAAAACACAGTAAGTGATTAAAAAACAGAAATAAAAAAATAAAAACCCATGATTGAAAGTTGTGAAAATTACAATTTTCCCACTTCATTTCAAAGCAATCAAATGCATAGTTAGAAAGAGTATCATCGGGCAAGAGGAAGCGGAGAGAGGGGAGGCCAGTGGGATAAAGAAACCCCATAGAAGAGACTTGAGAGAGAGAATCAGCGTCGTTTTGAGTCAAATGGAGAGAGGGTTTAGTCTTCGAGAGAGATGGGAATAGCTGGGGAGTGATTTGCAAGCCTTGATTCACGACCCGATTGTTTATAATCGGGTTCGAGTTGAGAAATTGATTCGCGAACACTCGATTCATCAACAGAACCCCGTTTCTAATCAGGGATTTCGTCGCCATTTTTTTCTTTCTCTCTCTTTTTCTCCGTTGAAGAACTGGTTTTTCTGCTAAAACCCTAGTTTTTCTTGAGAATGAAGACATGAATGAGAAGGAAGAAGGTGAAGTTAGTTAATGAGCCAACCAGTTAAGGCCCAATCAAATTAATCTGGGCAATAATTTAGAACCATCCATTATACCATTATACGTAACGAATCGAATATTTGGTATTAAAAAAAACTGTTAAAACATTATTTAAAAGAACAAGACACGAGCCTAGTTTTAAAATAGAATGTTAGCATTTAATTTTTACATTTGTAACCCATACTATTTTTAATGAAGCTTAAATTATAAATATGAACTAATTAAAATTAAATTTGTATTATTTAAAAAATGTTAGATATCTAATTACGCAAATAAATACATATCTAATTACATGAAAAGTTAAACAGTATATTATATGCAGATGCTAAGGTTAAATATAAAAAGATATTTATCCTTTTTTATAATATTTGGACATTGTTTTATATAGTAATAACAAATTTTGATCAATTTATCATTTATATTAAACAATATACAAATTTGATAATTATATTTATTTTATAAAATAAACATATAATAAATACAAATTTAAATATTTAATTTTAGGGATGAATATTTGATCTGAATTCAAAATGTTTTGATTTGACTCGATCCAACAAAGTCTTTTTTAATTCGAATTCTAATTGTGTTTTTCTAAGGATGCAATCAAGTCCGGCCGAGTTTATATTTATAGTAAAAATATTGCAAATGGAGTAAATTGGGTTGGGAGGGTCACACTTACCTCTGCAGTACATGATACGGATTAGTCGATCAATAGATTGAAAATCAGTGGTTATACAAAAAAAAAAATCATCCTTTTAATATTTAGAAATAATTATAATATTACACATTCTATTTTTTTGCAATTAGATCTTGATTTTATGTAATAAAAATGAAATTAATATGGTATAGAATTAGGTCAGATATAAATTTTTATCCTATAAAACTGATTAAATTTCAAATCAGATAAAACTTCACTAAATCCAAATCAAGTTATATAACGAATAAAGAAATATGATATCAAATAAAATTCAAATGGGTCAAAAATCCAACCTAAACCTACCCATACCCATCCTATAATCAATTTCATTACCGTGACAATAGACAATTTTAGATATTATTTTTAAATATTAAAATCTCTTACTTGCATAACAAATATAAATTTGAATAACGGAATATTAAAGCCATGATATTTATATCAACTCTAAATCCACCACTAATAATAAATATTGCATTGTAACACCCAAAAATTGGGTTAAATTGAAGTATTGGTAAGTTTACTAGTCTATTTGGAAACTCTTTAAAAATATAGGGTTTTGGGTTTTAATTAACCCATAAATTTTGGGGTTTGAATACCCAATACCTGCCTTCATGGTTATCATTTGGTATTTTGAAAAAAAATGGACGCCTTAGTCGGTTCTCTCTCTATTTTGGGTTTTCTTCGATTTGTTGCTAACTGAGAGGAGGTGTTCGACACCTCTGGTATCATTGCGTTCGTCTCGTCGACCATGTTCGTCTGGTGTCCTTGGATTCCCGTTCACCATCCTCGTTTGCAAGTTTTGAATGTTCGGGATTCACTAAAAACTCCATCTCTGTCGATCTTTTTCGCAAAATGACCTTGGTAAGTGATTTCCCGTAGTTAAAATTATTTTTGTGCAAATTTTGGTATTTTTTCGGCCACCGTAAAGTCCCCTACGCGCTCTCATGCGCCACCGTGCACGCATGGGATTTGTCTGACAGTTTGGACCAGTTGAACAGATCACCCTTGGACCGAATCGGCTGGGCCGATCACCGACCCATTTGATCGAACCGTTGACCTGACCCACTTGACCGATCTGTTGATCGTTGACTTTGACTTTGACTGCTGAATTTTTTTGAAACCACTTATCCTTATGTATTTCGACGTTCTGAATCCGTTTGGCCAAATTATGACCTAAAAGCCCTGTTTTGCATCGTTTATTGCTTAAAGTCATGATTTAATTAAATAAATTGTGAAATTCTAGACTCACTTTTTGATATTGATTTTCGAATGTGATCACGCTTCACAGTATCACTCACCAATTGACTAATTGCATAACGTCATGAGATACTGCTAGAGCTTAAGCGTGTTCGTGATTAATTGTTACCAACCCCTTATGTTTTTTTTTGTTGAGAATAATGAACTAAGATATGATTTTAGTTTAAAAAAAACTATTCAAATGCTTATTTGTGAGGGTCAAGTTTTGAGAATCATATGAATATCAACAGTTAAAATATTGTAGAGTAAGCGTAGTATTTGAAGGTCATTTCAGCGACTCTAGTGTCTGTGAGGATGTTGTTTCCTCATCTTTTTCTGTCAGCCAAAATCTCAAGTCGAAATTTTCTTAAGGGGAGAGTTGTAACACCCAAAAAATTGGGTTAAATTGAAGTACTGGCAAGTTTACTAGTCTATTTGGAAACTCTTTAAAAATATACAGTTTTAGATTGTAATTAACCCATAAATTTTGGGGTTTGAATACCCAAAACATACCTTCATGGTTACCATTTGATATTTTTAAAAAAATGGGCAATTTAGTCAGTTCTCTCTCTATTTTCTCTCTCAATAAAACATTTTTGGTTTTTCTTCGATTCATTGCTAACCGAGAATAAGTGTTCGACACCTCCAGTATCATTGTGTCCGTCTCGTCGACCCCGTTCTTCCGGACTCCTTAGATTTTCGTTCACCATCGTCATTTGCAATCAGTGAAGTTTCGAATGTTCGGGATTCGCCAAAAACTCCATCTTCGTTGATCTTTTTCACAAATTGACCACGATAAGTGATTCCCCGTAGTTGGAATTATTTTGTTACAAATTTTAGTATTTTTCCAGTCACCGTAAAGTCTCCCACGCGCTCCCACATACCGCCTTGCACGCGTGAGATTCGTCCGATAATTTGGACCGGTTGAACCATTCACCCCTTGGACCGGACCGACTGGGTCGATCACCAACCCGTTGACCATGCCCGTTTCAACGATCCGTTGACCGTTGACCGTTGACTTTGACTTTGGTCATTGAATTTAACCATTGAATTTTTTTGAAACCACCTATTTTTAAGTTTTTTGACGACCTGAGTCCGTTTGGTCGAATTCTAACCCGAAAGCCCTGTTTTGTATCGTTTATTGCTTAAAGTCATGATTTAATTAAGTAAATTGTGGAATTTTGGACTCACTTTCTGATATTGATTTTCAACGCTTCTCAACATCATTCACCAGTTGACCATGACCGTTCTCGCTCAGCTCAATTTGATTTTACGTGTTTATCTCGAGATACATATAAGTATTATTTAGTGACTTTATAGTATTTTACCGTTTAGAATTATAGATTCTATGTTCATAGACTATTATTGTTTTAGGTTCTCATTTCACAGGATCTAGTACTACTAACGTGGGAAACGTAAGGCTTGGCCTATATGCATTTTTCTCTTATAGGTATGTCTCCTTGATCTGTTTGATATATTTAACTTGTTATGTTATATGTTGTTGTATGTAAACATGGTTGTGATATGATTATATATATATATACGCGACATATCTGACTTCTGAATACTGTGACATCATCATTAATTTGCATGTTTATGCATTTATGATATCTGCATGAGATCCTTTATGGAGAGCATAGTTTCCCGTTTTAACATCTGCATGGGATTGGTTCCCCGTTCTGACAACTGCATGAGATTAGTTCACTGTTCTAACATCTGCATGGGATTAATTCCCTGTTCTAACCTTTGTACGGGTAACGAGATTAGTTTCTTGTTCTGACAACTATATGAGATTAGTTCCTCGTTCTGACATTTGCATGAGATTATATCTCCATCCTAACTCTATTTGGGATCCTCATATGAGGGCTAAATTCCTATTCTGATTTTGGTATTTAGTTTTCGGTGTCTCCTTGTAAGGTAATGTGCATATTCTGTTGATTCAGAACGAAAGGTAAGATTGTGAATTTCTGTTGGGACATTCTACTGGTAAAATATCTAAATTTTAATATTGGTCGATTATTATTTTGTTATTATTTTATACTTGAAATTTTTCTGCATTACGGTATCACTTGATTAAATTTTAGATGACACATTGAGCCTTGTAGCTCACTCTGTTTCTTTCTTTTTCAGATTATCCAGATATAAGAACAGTTTGGCTATTGGAAGTATGGTCTCGATTATACACTGTATGTGATTTTATATTTACTTTTCAGCATTCTTAAAATGTGGCATGAGTTTATTTCTAATTTTATATTTGGTAAACATTTTCAAAACAACTTATTAAAAAATTTCGTTCGTGGATTGTATAAGTGATCAACATGTCACCCTGATTCAGTTATAACTCTTAGGTCGGGTCTATAGGTTTACATGCATATTCATTAAAATAATAATAGTAATAATTTGAGGGAAGCACAAGGTCGCATAATTTCAGACCATGATATTAATTGCATCAAATGCTAATGACAAAAGAAAACACCCCCAACTTGAAGATTTCTATATATAAAATGTTAAGAGAAGAAGCACAAATTTCTTGGCTTCCAGGCACTTCGTATACAAATGACTATAATTTCCAGATTTCATGTCGGTCCCGGACTCTACTGCTCGCCGACACCACTAAGCGCGCCGGAGATCCAGCTTGATGCAGCCGTTTGGACTTCCGGCTCGAGTTGTAGAGAAACCGACAGTGGAGTTACCGCAATCTAACCATATTATATTTACATAAGGTTAAGTTCATGTAACGTCAATTTTCCAGGAGAATTACAATAAGGTTTCAACTTACAAATCCATCATTGAGTGCCTGGAAATCCAAGTCTTCATCCGTATCTTTCGTTTCTTTATCCACAAACTGCAGTATACATACAGAAAAAGATCGATGAATGAGCGACGATATTCAAACTTCACGAGAAAACTGGCTATCCGTTTCCAAGAGATTTCTGAAGTAGACAAATTCAGATTCTAGAAATGTTCGAATATATTACTTGAGTCGAGAAATACGAACAGCTTCGTCGTTCTCAGCTTTACAACTACAAGCACAGACTTTTA